TTACGTTTATCTTTATAACAGAAATATGATTGGATAATTTTCTTTATGAATTGTATATGATTAAGTCGAGCAACGCGATTGGTGGAAAACCTACGTTACGTTTACGGTTACTGTTACGAGTGTGTGTGATTTAATAAGAAAATTAAAGAAACCTTGAGAGAAGACATGAACTTGTAACTGCAAAATGCTGTCGCACACTACTGCTCTCTGACAAAGTGAATGTAAACTACATAGCAACGTCCACTTTTCTTAGGATACATCGTTCACTTTTCAAGGCTAGAGATGATAAATCGTGCTACATGAATCAAATATCGATTTATAAATTTGTTTTTATATATTTCTTTTACATCTAATAAACGACAAAGATAGACTAACAGAAGTAGCGCTAATAACGTTTCTCCATATGCACCTACAGAGTAAACAAGGCCCCAGTAAGTGGAAATGTTAGACAGTAGAAAAGGAAAGAATATGGGATGGTCTTTATCTTTGTCTAATGTTTCGCCAGAACTTTGAAAGCTGAGTGGAGGCGGCATCGATATAGCTCTCTTGAAATCTTTCCACTTCAAAATCAAAATCAACAGAAAATCAACAGTGCATGCGCGATTAAACAAGAATGCTGATCGTTTTCTGTTTCTTTCTATTTGCTCACGCATTCTTAGCTGATTCCTCTACTCTATATATATAATTTCTTTAGTAGCGAGCAAATGAAAGGTTTTGTTTTCAGTTTTGTTCTTCGCACACACATGCGTTGTAAAACTAAGAATATGGCGAACTGCTATAGCATTAAAACTGTGGCAACGACGATTGAGACACAATAAGTATAAGTTAATTCAGGAAATAACATTTTTAAAAATTTATGTGATATTGAATAAATATTGAATTAATGTTCTTGAATATTAAATTATAACGTCTGCAAGATGCATTACCTTTATGAACATTAAATGTTGTTATTACGTCTTTTTAACATTTTGTTATGCTGTGATTTAACGTTTCTGAAGAAAGAGAGATTCAATATTAGTGTAACACATTTTATGTGAACAGAACCGGTCTTTGATCTGATCATTTTTTCTTAGATTAGTATAATTACTGATTAAAGTACACGTATATGTATATGTACAGGGTGCTTCCGCAACCTACACATTAGTAAGTTGGGTTGCCTATCTGTCTAGGCAAGGGGCATGCTTTACTGATAACGCAGAATAAGATTAGATCGCAAGTGCGATGGGGAATGAGACAAGAGAAATTAAATTTTATATTCTAGTATAGTGTAAAATTCAATAATATATGATACAAAATATGGATTTAATAATACAAATAATATCTGACTTCATCTAACATAAGAGCGAAACTTAATAAATATTTACAAATATGTAATTATAAATATGTATTATAATTTGTATTATTAAATTACATAATCATATATGCTATTGGATTTATGTAT